CCTTTCCGGGAGAACGGAGCCGGAGGACGGAGCCAGCGGGGAGGACAGAGCCGGATGATGGAGCCAGCGGGGAGGACAGAGCCGGATGATGGAGCCAGCGGGGAGGACAGAGCCGGAGGACGGAGCCAGCGGGGAGGACAGAGCCGGATGATGGAGCCAGCGGGGAGGACAGTGAGCCAGCGGGGAGAACCGGGCCGGAGGATGGAGCCAGCGGGGAGGACAGAGCCGGATGATGGAGCCAGCGGGGAGAGAGGTAGGTGCGGGGGGAGGAGGACGGCTGCAGTCTTATTACAAGTGATCTCGGGGACATCCCTGAGATGACTTGTAAACAAACGATCGGCTTCCCAGCACTACATGTAGTCCGGCTTGTGCAAAGCAACTTACCGCCCGCCGGGATTCCACACCGCTGCAGCCTTTCAGCTGTGCACCCGGGGCAGCCGCACCAGCTGCCCCCCGGTTGTTACGCCACTGCCAAAAGAGTCCTCTTTGTCTGATGCAAAGAGCAGTGCTGATTTTATGATGCCAGTACCGATCTCAGCACCAGTACACTGTGAATTGCCTCCTATGATATCTCTGCTTTCAAAGGTAAAGGAAAGACATTGAACACCTTTTGTTTTGATGCACCTGCAATGTATTTAGCTGATTTAAAGCTGAACTCCTGGCAAACAGCTAAACACACAGTAAAAATACATATACATGAGCTGTTTTACCTGCCAAAGGATTTATATTTCTATCCATCCAGTTCTGAGATTTATACAGCACAGCCCCGTCTGGCAAGGGAATAACGCTGATTTTTCTCTTCTCCAGTTCAGTAACACTTTCTGGTCTTGTCCCTCCCCCAGCCTGTGACTGGACTGTGAAAAGAAAAGCAGCAGACTCAGCATGCTCTTTGCACATCAGTACAACTGAATGGCTCCTTGTGCTGCTTCTCCCTCTATTACTCTGAGCTCTGCTGTACTTTTGGAACAATACAATTAAACACATATTATTAAACATTGATCTGCATCAATTTGTCCCCCGTGTACCTACCTGGAGTTTAGCTTTAAGAAATAAATATGAACGTCGTCTATACAGCGTGTCACCTTCACCGGCTGCCCCCCCAGGCCCCCGGATGTTACGCCACTGCAGAGATGATGCAGAAAAATGCAGCATGAGCTACTTTCCCATGTTTGCTTGACGTGTGCAGCCCACGGATTGCGAGGCAAACACGGGAAGAATGCACGCAAAGTGTGAGCGCAGCCTTCCCTGGTCTTAGAGGGCACTTCCTGTTGTGTCTCTGCGACAGGAAGTGGAACTCATTCTGTACTCCACCCAAACAAACAAACTCTGGCTCCAGACATGAGATTTCTGTCCATTTATTATATGAGGACAAGATGGCGGCTCGGCCAGAACGCCGGAGGACCCAGAAGACGTTTCCTGATAACAATCCATCAGAAGGTTCTTGCTGCAGGCGGTCTCTGGAAACAGTTATAAGAGATTCCTTGAACGGTAATGTCAGCGGCACAGAAGGGGGAGGTTCTGGGAGGGGGGAGGGGCCTAGGAAGAGGAGACATAGAATCCAAAATGGTGGTGGGTGGTCATGGTCACTGGGGTGACGGATTGGAGCGGAGGGATTGTGGATCAGATCCTGTCATGAAGGTTCCCTGCTCTGTGATTGTCTCTCTTAGCTCTCCATCACCAGGAAGAACCAATCACAGAGGAGACATGGGCCACCAGACAGGGGCCACCAGAGAGGAGACAGGGGCCACCAGACAGGGGCCACCAGAGAGGAGACAGGGGCCACCAGACAGGAGACAGGGGCCACCAGAGAGGAGACAGGGGCCACCAGAGAGGAGACAGGGGCCACCAGAGAGGAGACAGGGGCCACCAGAG